CTTGCTTTCGTTAGCAGTATTCTTTCTGGAGAGCTCTTTAGCCGAAGCACCTTTGAAGACAAAGTGAATGAATCCATGACCCAGTAATTCGGGGAAATGCCACAGGCAAATGCATTTGTTACTAGCGGCCTAGCCAAAAAAGTCTTTCAGGGGAAGGACCAATAGTACAAATATTTCTAAAAATTCCAGTTGATTCCGATATACTATTTCCCCACCTCTCAAATTAAAATTTTAATACGCTTTGACAACACAAACACAACAAATATATTTATCATGAAATGCGCAATTTCAAGTGAAAACACTGTTAAGTTGCAATTCCTAAAATATAAAAGACATCTGCTCTTTTTCTATGTCCTATGAACACCTCTCCATCCCTAATTACACTTATGGCTGTTGACATTAAGTATTACTTTTAGTAAGGAAATGAAAGTTGCATCGGTTTCAGGTCAACAAGCGATTGTCATGTGATGCAGACTTCGTGATTTATTTGCTTATACTGTCTACTCCGAAATAAAAGCTGGAAAATAAAAAAAATTTCTCAACAAGCACTGTTCGTGTTGTCAGTTTTAAATTTAAAAAAGCATCCCAGTGCTAGTTAAATTTCACGATAATACGTGGCAAGTAGTCGGTAGAGACTTTTTGAATTACCGCACAGAAAAGAGAAATAGGCTGATGAGAATATGAACTGCTGTCTACATTATATCGTACAGCTTCACTGCGCTAAGCCCTATGTTGCGCTGCCCTTGTAAAAACTTGCTCATTTACCGGCTATTTGCAGGCTACGCAGCTTATATCTTCAGCAGTTCCATATTCCACGCCACTGAGCTGCTACTGAATGCTCCAGACATTAAAAATTCATTTTAAACCCGAAGACGACACGCTGACCGGACAGGAATAGAAGGTGTTTTTCAGTATTGCACACTTTGTCCAAATATCGGCTGCTTCAACGTTCATTTGCGCAGTGCGTAGAAAGAGTGTGCACAAGTGGGTTTTGAAAAGTAGGTGTTTTGATAAAGTTTGTAATAAACGGTATACTGGACAAGGTCACAATGTTTCAAACCCAGGCTGGAACGCACCAGGCGGGCCGGTGCGATTACGCGTTTTTGCACTTTTCGCGTCGTAGCAAGATCGCAAGGAATCACAGTAGCCAACCCTATGACATACTTGCCCTCGAAGTTCGGGAAGTTAACTGTGTAACTATGTGGTATGTCAGTTGTAGGTGTCGAATTCAGTGACCCGACAAATGGAAAGTTGCTGGTCCGC